TGGGGCATTTTATAGGAAATTAAAAGATAAAAGTGAGATGGACAAGGGAATAGAAGAGCTAGTATGACGTGTGGGTATACGTTCAATTTTAAATTAAATAGTCACCTCAAGCCGACTATTTGAAAGGGAAGGGAGACAAGGAATATTGAGTCTTTAAGCAACCGTCTGAAAGAATCTCTTCTAGACCTTTTTGATCATATCCTCGGTCACGGAGGAGTTTGGGTCCCAATGAACAAGAACCGTACTCCAGAATGGAGCGAGTAAGTGTGCAGCATAAAAATATTTAAGCTATTGAGCGGAAATCACGGGAGATACGGGTAGTGAAACCAAAGAGCTTAAGGAGATTAAATCAGGCTTTCTCTATGCGAAGAAAAGGAGAGATAAAGGGAAGGGGGAATGAACGGGGGAATAAACGCAGGATAAATACTGAGAGTAGAGATTGGCTATGCCAATAGTGATTGTATTAGATAGGAATATCAATTAGTTACTTGTGAGGGGATAGGAGGAGACGAACGATGTTGTCGATGTTGTCGAAAGAACGCAGATTGCACGTAAAGTAAGATTCAGTACGGGAAATGAAATCACGGTGACAATTTTTCAATAGCAATTTGTATTTAGTCCCAAGAAGAAAAAAAATACGATAATCAGATAATGGATAATGGATTCAGCCAATAAATTTGAATATAGAGTGAGAATGGTTTTTAGCGAAGATGAATTTCTTAAGCTCAGAAATTGACCAGGCGGGAAAAACAGAAGGATGATGAGTTACAAAATAATTTCTATAAACTATAAATAAATTACAATGTTGTCTATTTTTAACGAATTTGAATATTAATTTAAATTTTAAACGCTGATAAAAATAAATTAAACAATTTTGGTTTATAAACAACGAAAAAACAATTCGAATATTTTAAATATACACTTAGCTGTAAATAACTCAAAACATACCAGAATATTTGTAAAACTACGCTACGTCTAAAAAACTCCCAGGTCACTATGATTGTATTCCTAACTGAAATTCAACGAAAAAATAAAATCGAAACAACAAAAACCGCTATTGTATTATAAAAAAATTACCCTTCCTCAATGTAATAACAAGACAAAATGTGCGACCGAGAATTACAAATTCAAACGAAATGTCTGGTAAAAATTTGATTTTTAGCATATTTTAATAAACAACCGACTTATTTGGACGTCTTATCATAATATTATTTTATATACCTTGACAGGAAATAGGTATCCGAGTTCAATACAATAAAATAATATATTTAGAGTTCACGGGGGGAGGGGGGAATAAGATCAGTATGTATATATTTTTTTTTCGATAGCAGGCAATTAAATTCCAGTGATCCCCGGTTAGGCTATTATATAGATGTATATTTGATACGTTATTGTTTTTCAATTTTTTTAGTAGAACCACCAAAGAAAAAAGAGCAGCAGCTATTCATGGACTTCACATCAATTTCAATAGTTTAAATTCTGAGTAGAGAAAGTGAACCTATTATAGTTTACGGTAATATTATTAGGTTTTTTTGTTTTCTTGTCTCGGGAAAACCTTTCCGAGCCAATAAAAAATTATCGACATTTCCTTGGGGAGTATTTCGGGGAGGTGTTTTTCCTTAATGTACACTATAAAGTGAAGTGCTGAATATCGTAAACAACTCAAAATTAAAGGCAAGAAAATTGTATCTACGCGAATTTATTATTTTAATTATACTTAACAATAACTTATTTCGTGGGTACTTATTAAAATTCATTCAAAATATAAAATTTAAATTATACATAAATGTGTATAAGTGCTTACAATGTACCTACAAAAATGTAACGTAAAATATTTTATTTTTCTAAAAAAATACGGTTGAGCTTAAAAATAATTAATATTTTAAACAATAATTTTTCATATTTGGTTTGACATTTAATGTGCCTTGTAAACCATTAAAAGTTTATTATTTCTATTCAATGTGTAATTACTTGGATTTCACTGACTGCAATTCAATAAACAAAACCCGAATTCGTACATACATTCAAAAGTATAAAAAATGTTTCAAATACACTACAATGTGAAAATCCTGATCCCATTAATTCTGTATATCGCATACCATAATTGTTAAATGAACCTAATAATTAGTCTCACTTATGTTATTATTAGTTTAATAGGTAGTTTTTAAACAATAGGGAAATATAATTATTCTTTTGAATTCACAAATCGTTTTCGTCGATATAATGAATCACTAACATGAAATGATTATCCTAAAACCGTCGATAAAAAAATGATTTTAATGAAAGTTATGATTGAAAAAAATATTTGGTATAAAAATTATGTACAGGCAAACACATAAAACTACACACTACAGTAAACACCTCGTTACTATGCTCAAAATCTAAAAAAAAAATAAACGAAAATAGCACAAAATTAATATAAGAGGAAAAACCAGGCAAGTGCATTAGCCGATCATTTTCGAAAACTCTGTCATTTAGGAATAACCTTTACATTTTAATAGTATCGTTTTCGTTTTGGTATTTTACGTGTACCTACCCATAATAATTTACCGGGGCGGTATTATTTATTCTCAGTTACGAACTTCTATTTACAATATTATTAATCCGTTTAAACTTCCAGCTACTCGAGAAATATTGATCCACTTATATAAAACATACTGCATATAATAATAATATATTATGTCGTGCGCCTGAACAAATTACGTATATTTTGTTGGCGAAACTGTTAGGTGGTGTTGGGAAATCTAGATGCCTCTTAAATTGTTATTAAATTATTATAATTATATCGGCGTAATGAGAAAATGATATAATTAATCGCTTGTCTTGTATAATATTATAAAATACTACGGCTACACTTAAAATTTACCGACAACGTCGAACGAAAGTTATTTTAAGTAAAATATTACGTTGTTTAGTACAGTTTAATGGAACAAATTTGTACACTCGGTTTGAAAAACAAATTGTATACGGATTCGCACCACGGAGAGCCACTGTTGTAGGTGGGACGTCTAGAAGTTTATCTATAGAGTGTAGGTTTATGAAATAATAAGTTTATAGACTACGAAAGCAATGATAATAAATCACTGCAATCGAAAACGATTCTGACCGGAGCACGGTAAACTGATAGGGTTATTATGTAGTATAAGTCGCGTTTTACCCTCCTTTAGCTATAATAAATAAAATAACAGGGGACAGAAAGGAGTATGAAATGATTGAATGTGTAGTCCCGTTGATCAATGAGATTCCTCATTGCCTTCTACAAGAGTAGAAGAAATGTTATGTATAATATGTAATAAGGCTGTTAACTATCCTTCGTGGAACACGCTCGGTAGCGATGTTGACGTAGTACACAAATATCTTTACGAATGTCGATGTCACTGTAAATAAGGAAAGTAATACAATTAACGTTTGTACCGTTGAGCAGTTATACTGATATATTGACTCGAAGCAAGACACACGCAAAGAAAACGACGTATCACGGGATCGACTAAAAGGCTCTCTGGCGAGGAGGTTAGCCGGGGAGTTTAAGGGGATAGTGGAAGAATGTGTTTTCATTAACTCAGTCAATATTGTATATTTGATTATTTGTATAATTAATTATCACATCATATTAAATTTAAACGTTAAGTCTAACGACTATCTAATCATATTTAATGCCATATAATTAGTTGTAGATAATATTATACAACAATAATATTGCTATAATACAATATAATATGTCGATATAGTATAAGTAAGTAATATTAAAATGTATAGCAAATGATACAATATAGTACATATCATTATTCAGTACATACCCACGATAGTAAACCAAAAGTCAAAAAGAATTAAACCGATTCATAGCCATTCGATATCAGGTGTTTTAAAATTTTTTTTAGAAAAGAATTTGGTTTACCAGAAAAATATTACAAAAAAGTACCACCGGGCGAAAAATCATCATTTTGATATGAACAATTTGGAAAACAAGATGCAAAATATTTTCTGAAGAAAAAACCAAAATGGACCTAGAAAATGAACAATAAACATGATCTTTTGAGAATTTTAAAACAAATGCGGGAAAATTCAAAATATTTTGACTAGCTGAAAAAATATTTTCCGAGAAAAATCAAAAATCCATTTTAGTATAACTATAATAGCTACTTAATTACACTAGGAATCTTAAACCAATAGGAAGACCTGTCTGAATTATTATGAAAACTACTTGACAAATCAAAGAACTACCTCTTTAATGCACTAACTAAAAACAAATTCTACAAAGAGTCTCTCTAGTTTTTCGATCGAAGCAAAATTTCTGGTAGAAAATAGATAGAAAAAAAATTATAAAAATTGAAACTACACACATAGTGAAACCTATGTACTTCTCAATACACTTAGAATCTAAAATTTGTATTTTTTAAACTTTAAACTTTAAAGGTACTATATAATAATATATTAAAGTCATTTGATTATTTCTATTCATGGATTTTAAGTAGAATGATAAACTATTTATTACCTACTTACAGTATTAAGTTTGCCTATTAAAATATATTCAGGCTTTTTAAAATTAAAACTATTTATAAAATAAAATCTGGTCGTTCATCCACTAGGTACAACTTAGTCTTCTCTTTTATATATTCGACTTCTATAGTTAGCATTGTTAGGTGGATGCGGTTTATACTGATTTTTCCAAAGCATTCGATAGGGTAGACCACTCTCTTGGTCAAAACCTTAAATCTCATTGATCTTGGTGGTCCCTTACTCACTTAGCTTCACTCTTAACTAATTGACTAAACCGCTTTCTCTACGTCTCGGTTCTTAACTTTCATTCTTCCTTATTCACCCCTTCGTCAAGCATCCTGCAGAGTGCTGTTTTGTTTCCACTTCTTTTCACCTTATTTGTGAATTCTGCTACTTCAGTTATTTTCCGTGCAAATCTTCTTATTTTTGCTGACGATATAAAAATCTTCCTTAAAATAAATTCTATACACGATTGCCACAAGCTCCAATATGATCTTGATAGATTAGAATAGATTGGTTGCTTGGGGTGAATATCTTGCTCTCTCCCTTAATATTGCTAAATGTTTCTCCATAAACTTTACTCGCCTCCGATCACTTATCCATTTCTCATACCACATCCACAAAATTCCTGTTATGTTCTCAGATGACTCGATTTGCGACTTACCCGTAACCTCTCCTCTCACAATCATATAGAAGAGATATGTTGTAAGGTACTTAAAGTTCTCGGGTTCATCCTTCGATCCTCTTAACAATACCATCTTGTTTTTGTCTTTATGATCAAACATGTTCAGCGAAGGTTTTTCCGTGCTGTTGCGTACCAACTCCAAATTCCTTGTCCTCCCCATGATAACTCTACTGTCTTACAGGCTTATATGCTCTGGGACTTCCAAGTCTTGTGGATTGTAGGCAGACGAGTAATATCACTTTCCTATCTAATCTCCTTAACGGAAAGATCGATTCTCCTACTCTCCTATCTCTCATCAACTTTTAAGTTTCACCTCGATCTACTCGTTCTCATGCCCCATTCCACATACTACTGTCATCTACACATTTTTTCGAACATTCCCCTATTATGCGTTTAATGTGGACTACAAACAACGACTCCTTTATTTGATCGTCAGTTATAAATAAATAATTAACTAACTATTACTAAAGGCAATTCTGTCAATTCTACTTTTGATCTTTTTTCATAATTCATATTTTTTTTTAAATTTATTTTTCCTTTTTATATTGGGTTTTTTTTTGTTATTTCCCTATCTTATTTTATTGTTTTATTTTCTATTGAATTTCTATTTTCATTATTCTTTCTTTTTTGTTTTGTTTATTCAACTTGTCATCTAATTATAAATTGTAAATCAATACTATTAATTGCAATTGGATCTAGGTCTGTAATATATAATAAATAAATAAAATAAGTAAATACTTGACTGTGTGATAAAAATTTTAGGGTATTACTATACATTTTCCGAATCAAAAGCAATTTCGTTAACAAAAAATAATAAAATAAAAAGGTTGAGCAGTATATTTCAATATATATTTTTATTTTTTTTTTTTGGCAACTCTTCGATTGTGTTTTTTTAAAAAATACAAGAAAAATACTGGGAAATATTTTTTCAAGTTGAAAAAAACCTTTTTAATAATACCGCATCCATGATGCATGTCCAATTTAAAGAAAGCCTGTACAAACCATCTGTAAAGTAGGTATTTGTACCTATGTATATTGATTTTACGTACAAAGCGATCCTGTGGTCAAAAAACTAAATTCCGAAAACCCAAAAAAAAGAAAATCACGTATCTCTATTGGAATAGATTTGCCGTCTCTCGATCTCTTTCTCTCTCTCTGTCTCTCTCTCTCTCTCGACCACGTCAAGTACAATCAAACAGATTTATAACGTCTCGAGTACTCTCTCATTTATTGACGATATAATAAATATTATGTACTATAATATTAACAAATTCGATATACTTTAATTTTTAACCTCTCGCGGGTAAATGTAAAGTTCATAATACTCGAAATATATTTTCTCGAAAATAGTGTACGTATTATTGATGTGAACAATCATATTATAGTATTATACAGAACGCATCATTCATAAGATAACACGAAATATTTCAACCAGATAGATTCAAATTAAAATGGGGTTTTTTCTTTCAGGAAGAAATGATAATTTATTTTTTTAAATTTTAACGCTTACAATTTAAATTTCCCTAAAAGAACACATATGTCGTGATCACGTAGTTACGATATTCCTAAAGTGTCATCAAAAGTCTTAAGATAAACGTTATAATAAATGTTCCAAAGTTTTTGAGTAATAAACAATATTCTATTTTTATCCACATCAAATTCGAAATGTTCAAATAGCTACTAAGAGTTCAAAAATCTTTGATTTTTTTTTTTTGACCGGAGCAAAATCTCCGGTAGAAAATTATTTGAAAGTTGGTAGATACAAAAAAAGGCACGTATCATATTAAAACCAAATACATTCGCGCTGCGCTCAGAATATAAAATAATGTTAAAATTCACGACCGTGATCTGAAAATTAGACGGCGATTTTCGTTCTGGCGACAAATATTTTCGTATAATGATAATAACAATAATATTTTATAATATCATGTCATATGATACATTTAGAATAATATATTATTGTGTACGCGGAGATAATCACACGCGAAGAATTACTGTTCGGAGCATTTTTTTTTTTTTTTACTAGGCGACGGCAGAGAGAGAGAGATTACAGTTTACGCAGGCTTTGCTACACCGCCTCGACCTCTCTACCTACACTGTCGTTCTTAAGACCGCTGCAGTCAGCCGATAAGAAAACTCGCGCGTCCTTTTCCCTCGACAATATTTCTCGGATATTATATACTACGACGACGATATATTATTATCACGACCCCGAGATATACGTACTAGCAGGACGACGGTGCCCCTCCTCAGCCGCCTCCACCGCAAAACCCCGTCACCACCAGACTTCAGTGGACCTGCATTGTATTTAAGGAGCCCGGTGCCGGTTTATTTAAGTTTCTACATTTTTGGAAAATTTTGAAAATTTGAATGATACCCTCAAGGATGATACTTATCCACTAGTCTATTGTACGATACTCGTTTAGGGATAAGAACTATGGTCGTTTTTAAGAACGAAAATAACTCCGCGGGAATACGGATATCTTATTGTCAATAAAATATTTTCCTGTCAATCTACCATTTTTTATTTTTATTTTTTTTTGTAATCGATAAAAAACTATTCTCTACAACGCGTATTGACAATTTTTCTTTTGATTTCAAATATAAATATTTAAAATCGGCCTTTATATTTTCAAAACATTATACATTGTAATAAACAATTTTTTAAAAGTGGAGTTAAACGCGATCGCGGTCGAACTCATTATGCTTATAAATGTAATAATTTTTCATATGTTTTTCAATTAATTTCAATAGAACATAGCATTACATTTATATGCTGTATAATTTAACTGTCAGATTAATTAAAAAAGTATTAAATGAAAAAAAATTATGTTACTTGCCTGGTGAATAAAATGATTATGGATCTAATTTATTGTGCCAGTACCTTTTGTCAGTTTTTAATTGTTGCGCGCATATTTATATTACTTATATTACTTAATTACTTCAATATAGACACCAAAAAAAAAAAAAAAAAACCTCGTACATAAATATTTATTAAATTTGTTTATAACTAAAACGTTTATTTAGATAAATAATTGAAAAATGTCTGCCGTGCGGGAATTGGAAAAACGCGCGCATAACAAAGCGTTACCGCGTATTGTATACAAGAGCGGCCGGGAATCAAACCAATCAGAAACGACCAGTTATGAAAGTGTATATTATGATACGGGGAAATGCTTACCGGCGGGCGCGCGTTTATTTTTACGCCGCAAAAAAGGAATCGTCCGAGTATAAACAAGTGGCGTGTGTTCGTGTGCGTGTATGTGCGAGGAAGACCGTTGAAAACTATTGTTAAGTGATTCGGAAAATAAAGGAGAGAAAAGGGTCGCCGGTTATATTGTATATACACTAAATAGGAAGAAGCGAAGCCGGTGCCGCAGCAGCGCGCGAGCATCGGGCGGGTTTTTATACGCGCGCGAGGGTCTTGCTCCGCCGTCGGGCCATTTGGTATTCCCGGAGCGTCTGGCGAAATATAAAAAGGAAATTGGAGAAAGGACGAGAGTCAGCGGCGGAGAACGGCCGGGAGCGAGCAGGTCGGACGGTGCACGGCGACGGCGGCGAAGGGATAGGAGAAAAAGAGAGAGAGTGAAAAATGTAGAGAAAAAAATAAATATAATATGGAAAGAGAATACTCACACAAGTCGATCGAAACTCCGCCGAAGACGACCGTTTCGTTTTAATGTAAAATATATTTATTGGGAAAATCGCTTCTTCTTATTCTTTTTTTTTTTTACATACATACAGAGTGATCAATATGACATAAGTAGTCACTCATTACCTGGGAAAGCATTAGTTTTTTCGGAATTTGTTTTGTTTAGAGATTTAAAAAAAAAAAAACAAGTCGTTTTAAAATGTTTTAATGCCAATATTGTTTGCAAACTTTATTTCCGAGGTGAAACCACTGTTTACTTTTGATTTTCAAATGGTAACTCATATTGAAAACACAAACAGACATAATTTGCACGATGGCTGGGCAATTTCTATAGGTTAGAAGTTACGCAACGGTTAATATCATTGTTGACGAAAAACGATTCTGAGTTATACATGTTTTGAAAGACCGTAATATTTACGATTTTAAAATAATACATTTTTTCCGTTTTTCTCATTTACTATGAATACCCTTAAAAAAAAATTTTAAAAATTACCTCCTGTATCATCTCAGTGAGATTTCTGTTCAAAAAAAGTGCTATACTAGAAAATTGGAGCGAAATTTCTAGTAGAAAAGTTGTTCATCTAAAAAATAATAAAATAAACATTATTGTAAAACTAATACATTCCCTCTCTTCGCTCAGAATCTAAAATCCAGGAATAGATGGAGTATAAGTTGAAATATAGTTCCGTGTTGAAATTGTTGGTTTCCGCGATGTCATATTTCACTTTTCAACATTTTTTTAGGGAGAATTTAGTCCTGGAACACTATTTCAACACCCTGCATCCGCCGCCACACAAATAATACAAATAAAGTTGAATATCTCGATAATGGGTTGACGGAGATTATACATTTCAATATAAACAGTAATTTAATGATGTAAACTAATACTGCATACATTTAAGGAATTTTTAATATAGGTTGTTATTTAAAGAATTAATACTAAGTAGTGGTATCATCAAGATAAGATCACCAAAATAAGGGTTTCAAAAAATAAGAAAAATGTGACACTTTAGAATTGCTTATTATTTATGATTTCCAAAAAAACAATCTTCGAAAAAAATTAATAAATTCCGATATAATGAAAGTTATACGTAATGTTGATCATCCTGTATAAAAGTAATCTCTATCCTATTCTCTCTGTCTTTCTCTTTCTCTCTCTCACTCTCTCTCTCTCTCGTTAAATTTTTTTCAACCCCGTGGAATTCTCTAATCGTATACGGATTCTCACGCGGATATAAAGCGCGGGCAACTGATCGCGAGCGACGTCGAGCGCCGCGGGGTTAGATTATTCAAATAAATCTTCCGCCGACGCCGCTGCCCTGGGGGTCCGTTCGGAACGATTAATGCCCCGAAAAACGCGGCAATACCGGTCGAAAAATAATAAAATATACAAAACGACGATGAAAATAACGTATCGAACTTGCAGTGTAAATATTAATATGTAAAATAATATTTAACGTCGGGCCAGTTAACCGATTTTTCTAACTAGTTTAAGCTATCTTTAAGAA